GTACAAGACTCTCCTCACCTTCTTGATGTGTTTCTTTGTACAAATTTTATAAAAAGATCTTACAAAGAAATTTAGTAGAAAGTTCAGTTTCACAATTATTTGATAAAACTGCTCGATTTTTTATAGGCGCAAATAGCATTTCATTAACCAGTATAAAACTTGATCGAATATTGATGGTAAAAAAATTGATGAAGATCTTTGGTCATGGGTTTCGTGGAATACTGCTCTTTTGGAGATCCTTATGCATTTTTTTTTATTGTCAGTCTGAAAAAAAATCTTCTCATCAGTAAAAGGAAACCTATTTTAATAGATAATCTTTTTGATAATTCAGGTATCAAGAAATAAATGTTACAATTGTATATTCTTACCTTGCCTTGCTTTAAGTATGTGATAAATAACTAAACATAGTAAAAATATTCTTCTATCAACTAATATTTGAACTGCATCTCCTCTAACAGTCATATTTGGTCTCAGGAACTCATTTCTTCTATCGTCCTCGATATTAATATCGCGATAGCCATGATGTATTTTACCAAAACAAAGTAGATTCATATTCCTATGAATTCCTTTACAGTCATAATCTTCAAAACCATCGCACTGGCACGTATTCAATTTTGCTGCTTTTTCTTGTCTTGTAAGAATATTTATCGAATTTTTACACCTAAAATTTGTTCAATAATTTATAAACTAAATATTTCTTATACCATTCATTTTAGCTAATATTCGATAGTTTTCTCATATGAAAGAAAATTGGTTTTTTCTATTGAATTATTTCCAATATAAATGATAAGTAAATGTTTACCGTCTTGTACACTTTCGTCCTTGGAACATGCTCTTACAAAATCTATTATAATAGGAAAGAGCAGTCTGACAGAGGGCATCCGCGTTACAAATCCAAGTTGCAACTCTGCAGGATACCCTGGTTCTATTCATTGCCATTTGTACGGAAGATCTACAAATTTCAACCCTCTGCTTCGATTCTAAACATAAGTCGTCCTCGCATTCACACTGCGCAAAGAATACATTTTTATTTATAGAGAATATGAAATGTTTATACATGTGTTCGTGTTCTTTATAATTGTTATAAAATTAAATTACCAACTTCCTATGATTTAACGTTCACATTTATATTTCTTTCAAAAAGCAACAAATATTTATATAACCGAACGAAAGTAAAAATAAATAAAAAAAAATGTGTATGTACTGTTATAAGTTCCTTGCCCTCGTCGGTGCTAGTCAAAGCAATAAGGGCATGTTGGCATGTCTCGGAACAATCGTTGCCTTGGAGAACGGGCGCGCAGCCTGTAAGATAGTGTTGCAGTGCAGAGCCACAGCCTGTTCTGTAAGCGCACCTCAGTTTCGCCTCTTCACACCTCATTATAGTGCTCTTTGCCGTATTCCACATTATCATACTCAACAACACCATACCCGTTAGGACTATGGCCGACCGATCGCACGAGTATGACATCCTTCTGAAACATTAACGGTTTAAATGTATCGATAAATATTTGAAATCGTTCTCCGAAAATAGTGAAGATTTTTATATCTTAAAATAATAATAATAAATATATAATATAATATATATATATATATATAATATAATAATAATATATAATAAAAATAATATAATAAAAATAATATCTAAATAATAAAAAAAAATATCTAAAATTTTTATATCTTATTAAAAACTCATCGGATTGTTATCTTGTTTACATGTTTATTTACCGTTTGCAACGTAAACGTGTCGGAGAGTCTGTATCCGATGTAAATGTAACATGAGCATTCTTGTCGCGCTGTGAAGTGCTTGTGGACGCATGCAACAGATGTGTAGCATAGGGGAGACAACATGATATTCTTAAAATAAATCGAATCTTCTGTTTGTCATTCCCGTTAATGGGAGAATTTTACGTGTGAACTCGAGAATTGAAGTGGCACCACAAAAGGCTCTTATTTCCCAAACAATCAAACAGCTTGAAATTATTGTTAAATTTCAGAGAAATTATTCGTTCATAGAATATCATAAACATTGTACAAACTTCAATATTTTCTGTAATCCTGTCGTATATTGAAAAAAGAAAATGATTTTCAGTTTCTATTATATTATACATCTGAAAACATCGTCGAGTGTCGACGTCTATTTTACATTGGCACATTTCAAAAATACAATTGCAACTCGGAAAGATACAGATCTCGTTCCCGAAGAGTAAAATCGATAGTCGTTTTTTTTCTTAACGGTTTCTATGATCACGGGTAATCATGGTAATCGATGAACGAGAATCGTGTGTTGGTATCATCGTTAGAATTTCTACCAGAACACAACACGGTTCACCATTCTCCGGGTCTACTCTCTTTACTGCTTCTCTAGTGGTACCAGTAAAAAAAGCATGAGGGCAGGAAGAGAAGGGGGTGAAAGAGAGCACGTGCGCCAGCGCGCACACGATACACAGTGAGAGAAAGAGGGGGGCAGATTCTACCTGAGAGCGCTTCATTGCCAGCGCTAGTGCCGATGCTGTTGCGCACCAGCCCCAAAATGGACCACCAAGACGTCGCAGACGTGGCAACGAGGGACAGATGGCCAGCCCTATAGTCCTTCAGTGGTCGTCAACTTTGCTTTGCTCGCCAGTTCAAATTTTATGTCGAGCAAACATGAGAGAAAACATCGAATTGGTCCGCGACCGCATCAATTTAATTCTCATTTACAAATGCTCAATCTGTGTTGAGCTTAGCCAAGCGAATTCATTTACAGCGGCAGCAAGTTAGCGCCGAGGGACCAAAGAGTTTCGCGGCAAAGTAATACTTCAACAAACTCCGATTTTAAGATATAAGAACTAATTCATCACGTTTCAATCTTTCAAGCCTGAACAATTGGGACCCACTTTTTGAGATTCGTACAGCTTGAATTTTGAATTAGAAAGAAATTGATGTATATTTACCGATACGAATAGAAATGACGAATGTTTTGTTGCAATTGTCAAATATCAGCATTTATACAAAACTTGTATTACAGCGAACACATATTATTATAAACATATGAGACGATATTTATTGTAAGAAATTATTGGAAGAAATGCCGATAAATATTACAATTATATTAATTTAATAATTAAATACTCGAAAATATTATTTTAAAAAATGGCTGGAGATTAAATAATATTTGAGTTCTTCGTTAATAAAATTGGTTATCTTCTGATATTTATCGTTATTATTATATTTACTCTTCGCAGTAAAAATTAAACTGCTAGGTATGATAAAATACAGTGGAAAATGTGCGTTACGTATGTTTACGTCGACTACATTCATATGCATGTTAAGACACTACACGATTAACATGCTTGGCACGACCAAGAAATAAGTGATACAAATCAGCAAGTTAATGCTCAATTAACGCTGTACCGTCTATGCAATTTAATTTATTTCGATCACACCTTTTTTCGTTAACTTCTAACGAAGTGTTTTGATAAAGCACGCACGACATGGCACATATTGTAATTATACACATTCTAGCAAATAAGATTTCATTATTAATGTACATGTATGTGTTATAAAATTGAAACTGTCATTGTTTGTATTCAATCGATATTTATGCTATAGCAATATTATCTATTTCTGTTTACGTTTTCAATATTGATGGTAAAACAATCATTTGACAATTGTTACGCAAAAGCATTTTGTATGTACACACAAAAATTGTATACATATACCAAACTTAGCGCATATCAGCGTATGTTTATACGTCGAACAAAGAGATGGTGCAGAATAGTATATCTAAATTTAAACATGTATTGACAAAATACATTGGTTATCAACTAGGAAAAGTCAGTGTTTTTTTTTTTTACATCGATAATGGAAAAGTTTTGATACAAACCTTGTGAAGAATCACATTGTTCTAATAGCCGAGAAGTATGAAGTTTATGGATCCTATTTGCAAGCACGAATCAAAATTACGATTTCGTGTCGAGAATTATAACACACTATACGAGAAGAAAAGGAAAGAGAAACTTACTCACAAGCGCACGGTCACCGCGACACTAGATTGAGTTGTGACGGCCTGCCCGCTGCGTCGAGAAGCTGCGCGCGCCGCTCTTTTCCCCCCACCATCGACTACTGGCCCGGGACCGAGAGGACTACTGACAGAATCGAGTCACGATCAAAACTAGAGTTTTTGAAAAAATTCGTTCACACCTCTTTCTACCGCTCGTTCATCACGATTACACTGTCATAATTAGTAAGACTGATTCTATTATTTTTCTAATATACGATTTTAAATTACTTCCACAAGTTTCATTGAAAAGTTTAAGCATGTATATCATTGTAGATACGTGCAACTCGAGAAATTTTTAAATTTCATGAGTACATATTCATGTAAGAGCTATACATGAGATGTTATCATTTTAGAATGAGAACCGAAACCACCACTATAATTAGTCTTCGCATGCTACAGAACACCCCGATGTTATTGTTATAATATTAATGAAGTTTTCGGTGCAGTTTTCCTCGATTCAGCTACAAAGGGATCGAATCTGGCATTATTTATCCCGTCTAAATAGCATTATCAGCTTCTCGTAGAAAATTGTAGAAAGCCTCGTATCGGCGCTGATCGATCCGGGCACGATACTGAATAATTTATGGGACAAGAAAAGGGCGACGCCGCAAATGAATCGCAGGACACTCTTGTTTTTATCGCGAACTCGTTTCACTTCCATTACTAGCTCTATCCTCCACCCACAGGGGTCCAAGGTGCCCCAACCTGCTTGGCTGATTGAGACACCAGCCTGGTTCCAACACTATCCCCTTCTCCCCCGGCTTCATCCGTACCCTTCTCAGAGCGACGTCGAACAGTCCGGCATTTAGATGCGTTCCGTTCTTTCTTACGTTTCTCCTTCTTCCCGTGTCGGCCTTCCATCGGGCTCCCTTTCAGGCCTCTTACTACGTCTANCACACACACACACACACACACACACACACACACACACACACACACACACACACACACACACACACACACACACACACACACACACACACACACACACACACACACACACACACACACACACACACACACACACACACACACACACACACACACACACACACACACACACACACACACACACACACACACACACACACACACACACACACACACACACACACACACACACACACACACATTCAGATGGTCCCTGTGACTCTCAACTTAATTTCACTCCCGTAAACCAGAGAAGGAGGACAGACAGCGCGCGGCCGAGATTAGTTGGTTTCAGTACAAATTGAACTGGTTTAATCGGTTCTGCGAGCAGAACAAAAGTACCGAACGATATTAAATTGCGAAACGTGTTTCCCTCTTCTCCATTTCTTAGGCACTGCTTCGCTGAAGAGATGATTCGTACCTTTTTTTCCCAATTACTAGAATACGTTACAAAATCCACTAAACCACACAATGCTCTTCGGTTAAATACTGTTCCATTGGCCATTCTAGTCAAACAAATGGCCGAGAGAGAGAAAGAGAGAGAGAGAGAGAGAGAGAGAGAGAGAGAGAGAGAGAGAGAGAGAGAGAGACGGATGTAACTGTTTGTGTTCGTATTTAACAAGTCCACAAGAACGCGTGTCTCGATTTACTTAGGTTATCCTAGATAAATACTTTCAGCATCGTTTGCTCGGAACTGATATTCCGTTCAAGACTGAGACAGATTTATTGAAACGAGGCAGCAGTCTGTCGACCGTTCTCATTCTGTTTACTAATTTCATCGTCGATTTCATTTCTGGAGCTTCGCGTGTTTTCTTTTTGCATTTTTACACGTGTTCGATTTTAATCGAATCGAGACTGTATAAACTGTTCGTGCAAGGATAAACTATGAGAATTAGTTTCCTGTGCTGCAGGAAACACGCGATGCTGGATCTAGATCAACAAATTGCGATAAGGCACGGACCATCTACGACGAAATAAAGGAAACAGATCGTCGGATAAGAAAACGAGACGGACGAACGATAACGCACGTACACGACCGTGTACTTTGTTAGAATATAATATTACTGAAAATCTTGCCGTTCATTATGTATCCGAGAGTTTCTAACTAATTTCAATATCGGAAAACAATAGCTTCTTAAACTTTCGCCTACTATTTGTAGCTTATATATAGTTTTTTAAGTAAATATATAGTTTTTATGTAGAGTTTTATATAGTATATAGTATAGTTATATAGTATATAGTTATATAGTATATAGTTATATAGCATATAGTTTTATATTATATAGTTTTTATATAGTATATATATAGTTTTATATAAGTTTTTTAAGTATATATAGTTTTTTAAGATGAGAAAAATATCGTTATCGTACATTATTCGAACGTGTACGATTTAATTTTAATTACGTTCGAACAAGTTTAAGATATTTCGAATTAGCGGGTGTTAATAATTTGAAAAATAAGCGTAACGTAAAAATTTGAAATTGTTAACACATTTTTCGGGCAACGAGCATCGATTGTAGATGAAATATGTTACTGAAACTTTGCGAACACCTCTCTCGGACCAGTATCTTAAACTTTGTGAGTTGCACGCGAAGGGTCAGTATGGCGGTTTTTGTTCTCACTCTGTGTATCTCTCTTTCTCCGTCGCTCTCTCTCGCTGTCGGTTTCTCTCGATGGTCTTTTTGATCTTCTCGAAGCAATTGTCCCAAGCGAGAACCCGGTTGAGGCAATAACGTCCGCAGGCCCAGCCTATCCTGTACCTTCTGACGTCTTAATAAAGCAATCGTCCGATTTCTCGAAACCCTCCTTCTTTCACTATAAGCAACACGTCGGAGCCTTTCGAGAGAGAACTTCTCACGTTTATTATCCGTCTTCGTTCTATACACGAATTTTCTATACTTACATTTTCCAATATCTTTTTTTTTCTTTTAGATATTTCAGAAATAAAAAATGCTCTAAGCGTTGACGTTCATATATATTTTCTGTGATCTCAAAGGCATTACCAAACAAATATGGGCGTTATTTAAACTCCATTTTCTACAACTCTGTGCGGAATTATAAATCGGTAACTGCAAAAATTTTCTATATTAATTATTATTATTATTATTATTATTATTATTATTATTATAATGAATAAATAAAACGAAATAAACTATAAAAATAATAAACTATTATTCATTATTTTTATTATTATAATATTATTATTATATTATTATTATTATTATATTATTATAATAATATTATTATTATTATATTATTAT